CATCCCCTCTGGGCGTGATTTCTCACTTTCTGTCTCTCTACCTCTCTAAAGAGCACATGCGTCCTATACCAAAAATCTCTCAAATAAATAAATAATACATTTGCCATTTATACACCTTCACATCTTTCCTAGATAGGAAGTTGGAAGGCTTATTGAAGGAATTCCAACTTGCCCTGTTATCACTTTTTTGTGATGAAAACATATTGTATAAATGAGGAAAATAATATTTTATAAAAATAATCAGTAATTAAATTAAGCTTACTTGGCATCTTTTATTCACTCTTATTGTAAACCTCCATTTAATGGCAAGGATATATGATTAGGTAATGAAAAGCAGTTGTTGGCCATGTGTATCTAAGTAGATTTCATACTCTTTTCTCCTGCAGAGTCATCGTTAAGGTAGGAATGGTGCACAAAGAATGGGGGATTTAGGAGTCAGGAAACGCTGAGGTCTGATCCAGGTGGTGACACAGTGGTTCAGGTCTGTCTGTCTGATGCCCTCAGCGTGGAGCAGGGAGGTGATCCCTCTCTGCCTGACTCAGCTCTAGTTGAGATGAGAGACTCCTCTGTTGGTGCCTACCATAACAATTGCTCAGAGATGGATAACACTCGGGCCCACCCTTGTGAAAACATTCTGGGAATTATAGTGCTCAAATGTAAGAGTGGTTATTATTTCATTTGCTGATCTAGACTGTTTCCTGATCACCAATTAAATTTTTTTAATGAAATAAAAATAACTCCATTTAAATGCAAGGGCTATTGGAAGTCCTGTGAGTATCACAGACACTGAAGAAATAGCTCTGAGGTGAGAATCAAACCACTCAGTAGAATCTGTTTGTCATGAGTAGGAAGCGGGGGCGGGGGGTGTCACAGCAACAGGGCATGACACTCCTCAAGGCGGATCTCCACAGGAGGGTTCCAAAATTTATGTCAGGGACCTCTCTGACTTCTACAAGTACACATGTGCCCCAGATCTGGGGCTGGCTGGACTAGGGGTAGATAATGGCATCAGGACCTTGTTAAGGGTTCTGTCTGTGTGTGCGTATGTGTCCCTCTCTCTGGCTCATGGAAGGTAAATGATCTTTAAAAAGGGGGGGGGACAAACAAACAGGAAGGGACTTACATGGCTGTGCCTCAGGTGATCTAGGAGCATTCATGAGTTGAAGCCATGGACTTACAGGAAGTCTATAAGGTCTCTCAAAGTCAGTTATCTTCTGTCTTCCTGCCAAAAAAAAAAAAAAAAAACAGTCTGAGAAATTTTTAGATGGGTGGAAAAGGTATAGGGAAGTGGAATAGGTAATTAAGTCATGACAAACTCGAAGTAGAGTTAAATTGTTGGGAGTCAAATAATAGTGATTACTCAACTATAAAATAATTGTCATTCATAGAGTAACAAAGACAATATTCAGGAAAACAGTATCTGACTTTAAAATTCCTTAAGCTATTTTTGAATGCATATTATATAGAAGAATTGAAGTCACATGTTTGAATAAATCCCCTGATTATAGAATGGTATTGACTTGCTAAAATTAGCTAGTGATTTTTACTCCTAGTATTTTTATTTACTTAATTTATTAACAATATAGAAGTGGTTTTATCTTTATTTGTCCTGCCCCATATTGTATTTTAGCTCCAATTAGAAATATATGATAAGAATTTCATTTTCTTTTCTTTTTTTTCTTTCTTTTTTTTTTTTTTTAGTTTTTGGTCTATGGTGTGTATGCTTACCAGAGAGAGATGGGGGCCAGTGAGAGGAGGAGAATGAGAAATTACCTCCCAGAGGTGATGATCACACTGCAATCCCTTCTCCTCCTTTCTCCTCTCAGGATTCTAGGCATGCATACACACACCTGGAGTGGTTTTCAAAATGCCGAGTCCAGGACTCAAAATTATACAGCTGGCCATGTGGGATCCAGCTGCTTTAATCACTGTGCCACCTAACATAACTGTTCATGTGATACGTCTGATCCTGTTCTGTTCATATGAATTTCCAGAAAGTTAAATATAATTTAAATCCTATTGCGATAATGTGGAGTCAACTATGATCATGACTAAGGAACCTTAGATTAAGATGGGCAACTTAATTAGTTAATAAATAATTCTTTAAAAAATAAAATAAAAACTCTTAGCTCTTATGTTTATAGTTGTTTTTCTCACTCTGTCATGTTATAAAATGGTGTCTGCCCCTGCTCTTTTGTTGTGTGGATGTGCCAATGGTAAGATCTGAAGTCTGGAAGTAGAACAGAGCTAGGGCTGGATCTTGTGCAGCCAGTCTGAGGAGAGCTGAGGTGGATGGTAACCGCCATCTCAACACCCAGCAGACAAGAAAGGTATGAGCTTTATAGACTGCCACAATGCAGTCTCTGACTCTGGATAGCCAGGTTGTCGAGATCCTAGAATCCCTCAGACACTTAAGCCTCAGAAATAAAGCTTTGATGGGGCAGCCCACGGTGGAGTATTGAAAGCACCTGGATCCCACATGGCCAACTGCACCATTAAAGTCCTGGACCCAGTGGCTTTAAAAACACACTGACTCTATGTGCATGCCCAGAACCCCAGAAGGAGGGATAAATGGAGAAGGAATTGTGGTGTGACCATCCCCCATGGGGGTGATTTCTCATTTTCCTTTTCTCTTGCACTCTCTCCAGCGAGCACATGTACCCTCTGGCATATTACCAAAAGGGAAAAGAAAAAAAAAAAAAAGAAAGAAAGAAAAGATCATAAATAACGCTTTGGGATCACAGGATAGCACAGCAGTAAAATATGATGCTCTGTGAGGATGTTCTAGGTTCACATCTGGAGGCCTCCCTAAGTACACTGGATATTCACATGCCCATGACCTAGGGCAGGGTGTGGATTGCAGTGGTAAGACCCTTTTGCAAGTGCTATTTATCCATCTGTCTCTCACTCATGGAATAAATTAATAAAGTAAAAAGTTTTATTTTGAAATCAAAGCCAAAACAAATTATAACCAAGCCCTGTAGTACTTCATTTGTTCATTCAATGACTAATCATTGGATTCCTACCATGAGACATAGATATGGGCAAACAGGCCTGATGAACATCCAGTCTGTGCTGTCAGGGAGCCCTCAGCCTGGAGACTGAGCCAGAGGTGGAAACAAGGGAAAGA